GATTAATAAAACTTGTTTAAATTTGTCAATATGAATGTGACCCCTCCATACTCGTGTTAGTAAAAGACGGTACAAGTAACAGTCCTGTCTATGCAGACAGCTCTGTTAGAAGACAGGTAACAGCTTGGCTTTCAGACCAGGATGATTATGCTTTCCACAAACCATTTCAAATATGTTTTAAAAGAAACAAGACCATTGTTTCAGATGTGGATGCGCAATGGCAGGCAGATTTGGTGGATATGCACCGGTTCTCCAAACACAACAGCTGTTTTAAGTACATCTTAACAGCGATAGACATTCTATCCAAATATGCCTGGGCCTGAGACCTAAAAGACAAGATGGGTGGTGAGGTACCCAAGGCCTTTAAAGTTACTTTCAGCGAAGGTCATGTGCCTCAAAAATTACAAACCCATCAGGGGAAAGGATTTTTAAACGAACTTTTAAGCAGATTGTTAAAGTGGCATGGAGTTCACCATTTTGTTACTAATAATGAAGTCAAAGCAGGGGTTGTGGAGCAATTTAACAGAACTTTAAAAACTAGGATGTGGAAATATTTTACAGCCCCTAACACCTTTTGCTACCTCGACGTGTTACCTGACTTTATAAAGAGAGTTACAACCAGAGCTTTCACTGAACTATACGTATCAGACCCCTAAGGTTAACCTTTCAAATTCTCTGAAGGTATGGAAAACTGTTTACAGAGACAGTTTTAAAATAAAACTGGTTGTTGCCTCTTTTAGAAAAGGTGACCATGTGAGACTATCTAAAACCAAAGGAGCTTTTGAAAAAGGTTATGAATAAATGTTTACCAATGAGATATTCATAGTGGATGAAGCCTTAACCTGGGTCCAGAGAACTGTATACTGATTAAAAGATTATTAAAGTGAGACTGGGTGAATCTTTTTACCCTGAAGAATTACAAAAAGTAAACCCCAAATGAGACAGGATTTACAGAACTGAAAAAGTTCTAGCCAAGAAAGGAAAAGGGAAAAAAGGCAGCTACTGGTGAAATGGCTGGGGGTGGCCAGATAAGTTTAATAGCTGGGTGGAAGCTTCTCAACTCTGACATTTAGACATGAACGAAAAGGATTCCTTCTGCAAAGAGAGAGGGATGAGCGACAGCAGGTTTTACATCATTTTACCCAGCAACGCCAGCTCAGGGTTTTTTCCCCAAAACGCCAGCTCGAACTTTATAATATGGCTAATTAAGCCCTTGGATCTCCCGGATGCCTGGGAGGTGCGGTTAGAAATACAATACCCGCAGAGCTGGAACACTATCAATGAAGACACCCCTTTTGAAATCACCTTTGGAGATATGGTGTGGAGTTTCATCCTACAACGAGATTATTACTTGTCCATACCTGAATTACTGGATTATATGAATACCATGGCTCGTCACCCAGGACCTCCTGAGGTGGTCATGAACTGACACTCTGGGTAGAAAAGTTAGACTTAAAACCACCGATTTTACTTATGTTTTCTACCAACGGGGAGCTAGCTAGCAAGCATTCTGGGTTTGGACCCCAAGTGCAGCGTCCACAAAATCCCCTTCTCAGCAGGCATCACAAGGAGTTTCAACTCCTTATATCTATACACAGATATTGTAGAACACCAGTTTGTGGGGGACTTTTCCGTTCCCCTGTTACACTGCGTCCCCATCTGAGGGAGGAACAATGAGTTGGTCACCATCACCTACAATAAACCTCATTACGTCCCTATCAGTAAACACCACATCGACACCATCACCACTGAAATAAAGACAGATCAGAACAGACAAGTCTCATTTCGCTTTGGCAAGGTAATCGTCAAACTGCACCTGTGTTCCCTAAAAAATTACAGCAACTATTACAAAGCCCAGGCTGGATACGCCCTTCCTGGATATCATGGGGCCTCCATGATGTATGGGGCTGGCATGGGTGGAATATTCCATAGCCTCTTTTGAAAAGCCGTACTGCTTTTGAGGAGGGGGCTAGAGATTAAGCCCCATGTAAAAACCACTGCTCAAAACATAGCGAGACATATCATGTCTCTCATGCTGTTCTGGAGAAGGTGGGGAATCCAGCTGCACAGGAGGTATCGAGGCTGATGTACATTAAAAGGAGGAAGAGAAATAGAAATGAGTCATACCCGTGATGCACAGGTCCCCTGAAAACCTTTAAAAGAAGGGCTTTCACACGCACGGCCAGCCATAAGCAAAAGTCCAAGAGGAAGCGGGGGCACAAAAAAAAAAAAAAGATATTTTAATCAACATGGCTTTTGTTCATTGCGGGTCTGAAGAGTGCACCAAATCTGAACTAGACTTGTTCCAAATAGCCCCTATTCAGACCAGCATCAAGAAAAGCATCTACATCAAGGTGCCGCCTCCATTGGCAGTTACAGAGGCTGCCCCCATTGACTTTTTTATAGCAGGGAATGGCACAGATTATATGGATTTAAACACGCTGCTGTGCCTTTGTTGCAAGACTGTAAAAGGAGATGGAACTGAACTCGCTGGGAACGCCGAGGTGGGTGCGGTGAATTATCCCATGGCATCTATTTTCAGTCAGTTGGATATCGCGCTGGGTGACCGTCTGGTAAACCAAAGCAACAACTGTTACCCTTACAGGGCCTTTACAGAATCGGTGCTCAGTTACAGTGAAGACACCCTCGCCACACAATTTTCCGCCAGCATGTTTTACAAATATTCTCCCAGACAATTCAAAGAAACAGCTGGATGGCGGGAATCTAGGGTTTGTGAGGTGGGCGAAGCTGACGGCCCTGAGCAGTACAATAGAACTGTTGGGTCATTTACACAGTGACCTGTTTTTTCAAGGAAAACTTCTGTTGAACGGAGTAGATGTGAAAATTAAACTGACAAGCAATAAAGACTCCTGTTTAATGGGCAGTGCAGTCAAAGGTTTTAAAGTGTGCATTGTATCAGCATCCCTTTTTGTGAAGAAAGTACGGGTGGCCCCGAGCATCTGTCTGGGGCATGTGGAGGCCCTGCTTACTGCTAACACTAAATATCCCGTGGACCATGTGGGAATGAAAATGTTTAGCATCCCTGTGGACAGCAGGGTCAGTAACTAGAAGCTGTTCTTGGGACCTGTTTTTGGGACAGTTACCCAGAATGCTTGTCCTACAGTTTGTGAATAATGATGCCTTTAGCGGAAGTTACACTAAAAACCCCTTTCATTTTAAACATTAAGATATTAATTTTGTGGCCTTGTATGTGGATGGTGAATAGATACCAGCCAAGCCCCTGCAAACAGATTTTGAGGCCAGATGCTGCATGAGAGAGTACATGAATCTGGAACCGACAGCTGGTAAACACATGAAAGATCATTCTCTGCTAATCAACCGTGAGACGTTTGCGCAGGGTTACACCTTGTTTGCCTTTGACCTGTCTCCTGACCAGGAACGTGCCGATCACTGTTCCCTGATTAAAACCGGGAACTTGGGAGCAGAAATATGTTTTGGGAAGGCTTTGACGGTCACCGTCAATATGATCTTGTATGGGGTTTTTGACAACGTCAGAGATAAATCAGAGAAACATTCCATTTGACTGTATGTGAATATGGACACCGTGCAGCTCTCGTGTCTTATCAGCAGACCTACACAAAAGGAAATTTCTTAGATGTGTTCCCTTGCGATTGGCTCCCTGGCAGCAAGCTGTCTCAGAGACCCCTAGGATTGGTGGTCAACATGCATCCACACAACCAACCGGGTGAACCCTGGCTCGCCTTGTATCTGGCAGAGGGTAACCATGCAGTTTTTTTACTCATAGGGCATCCCCCGAACAGTCCTTGTTTTTTTATTCAAAACCCCAAAGCCCATGCTCCAGGTCTGTGCATGTGAATGAAAACACACATTCACAATGGCTAAAGCCCATGCTCTGGGTTTGGGAAATGCAAATGTTTTCACTCCGTTTTCTCAGGGTTTGGTGTGGCGTTGACCTCTGAGGAACTGGAGTTGTGTTTGCAGAGTTGTTTCTTACTAGAGTCTTTTGTTTTGTCCTTGGCTTTGACGTATATGAGCTTTGGACTGCCCTGATGCTTCATCTGCAATGTGGTGGTGGTGGTGGTCTCAGAGCAGATTTCTGGTTCTTTGGTGGTTCTGGTAAAGGTGTCTCTGTAGCTCTGACCACAGCATTGTCAGGAGAGCTGCCTATGCCTGATTAAGAAAAACAGAGATGTTCCAATTTAGTATCAAATAAACATTTTACAAAAAACTTAACCATCTTTCTCAGCCACTGTGACATTCTGGATCTTGGGGGGAACATCCTGCACCCCCATAAGGCGGAAAATGTGTCCTCATGGCTTAAAACAAATCCAGGCAAAACTCTCCAGGAGCAGAGGGGCAGTTCACACCTCATCAGGTCATATATGGGACAAACCCAGCCCAGCCTCACAGGAGCAAAGAACACTGGCCTACGCAGCAACAAAGGATCTGTTGGACTCTCGAGTGAGTCACCCCCCTTCCCTTGGCCAGTTTGGGACTATGATGAGGTAATTCTCACCTGACCCTGAAGGGGGGTGCAAAGCCTAGAGGGAAGAAAGAACATGATTAAAGGGAGACATTTGCCACACTCTTCCTCTCTCCTCCTCCATCTATAGACACCACCACCAAGCAACTGAAGTGGGCATATCTGGACAGTGCAAGATGGAGGTTCCTAGGATTGTGTCTAGGACCGGAGATATTGGCTAGTGTCATTTGGTTGCACAATCCAAGCAGCGGCTGGCCAAAAGTGCTCACTCACGTTGCTGGGAGCAGCTTACGTGCTAGAGGTTGTGCGTGAACAGCCCGGGAGTGGGGATTCTCACAGCAGAGCAGGGTATGGCTGGCTCCCCGAGTCAAGGATTGGAGTGACCTAGCAGATCACCGGTCCAGGTAACACCAGGGGAACATCACACCCCCACCTATGTATTTGCTTAAAATACAAAAGCTCACAAAATAACCAAACGAATAAGCAAAATATATTTACTGGGCTTCATCCATCCATCAGCCATTGGTACTGGTGAATTTTCCTTTTCAGCTGTCTTTCCTTTTTCTTTAGGGCTTGTTTACCCTCTGGTCTAAGGATCTCTCATATCTGGATCGTACTGTGGAGCAGACGACATTATTATTAAAAAAACACATGAAACTGTCTTGTAAACTTAAAAAATAAAATACTCATTAGAGTGTTTTTCTATTTAAAAAGTCATAACTTTAAAACAAAATAATCCATTTCAGGCTGTACAACAAACACAGGTTTGGGTTTATTTCTACCACTAGTGTTTCTCTAAAACCTACACATTTTTAATACAAGCACGTTTCCACCATGCACCCAAAAACAAAGTGTGCAAAAAAATATTTTAAATCCCCCACCATAACTATGTCTTGCATAGGCCCCCTGAATCACCAACAATTTAAACACAAACTAATTTTAAAACAACCCATTTTAAAAACAGATCACATTTTGCAGAATAACCCCCCCCCATTAGTTTGAAACACACGAAACCAACAGTTTGCAAGCATATACTTTTAAAAAACACCCACACCTATATCTTGCACAGATCCTTAACTCACAATTTAAACATTAAAACTAATTAAACATTTTGAAACATACACATGCTTTTAAAATCCAGTTGCAGAAAGTTACCTTCTAGCACAAGGTACAGGGATGTTGGCACATGGTTATTCTGTTTTCCCCCAGGTGTATTTGAGCCTTTGGGTTAAAGAACAAGCAGAATTTGTAGTTAGTATTATTCCCCCATTGCACCAAATCCCCATGCAATCTGTGTTATACCTGGTGTTTTTTAATTTAACAGCATTAAGCACAACTATAGTTAAAAATGGGGTTTTGCCTGGCCCTGGTGAAAAGCAGCTTGAAGTTGCTATTTCCATGCTAAACAGATCACACTGCAATAAAGATAGGTACCATTATTTAGTAAGGACAGCATGGACAAAGAGTGACATTATATATATATATATTCATTCAGCGTTAAAAACAAGCAGCATACCTCATCTTGTAGTCCAGCAGTTATTCTGTTCAAGATAGTTTCTGTTTAAAGAGAACAGTCTCCAAAAAACTGAGGCTTTTATACCATCCTAACTCTTTGTTTCAGAGTCTGTAGTTAGCAGGTTGATTTGATCACTTACAACTCTTAATTAATAGATACTTAGGGAAATTAGGCACCCCTCCCCAAAGTTCCCTTTTGTGATCTGAGGGGTTGGGGGAATTAAGTTGTCTGCACAACTGGGCAGCTTTTTTTTTTTTTTTAGTTAAAATACATTTTTCTGTTTCAATTGAAAAAACAGAGCACTGTAGGACCTTCTTACATTATTAAACAGTAAAACACCACACACAACAATCCTTAATGTTACTGATATCAATGAATGTCTTGTTTTGTTTTGAAACATGTTTCTTTCATGCTTAAAGTTTGGATATGTTTTGAAATCAAATGGATGTATCCCAACCATAGTAAACACCCTATGATTATTACCCATAGCTTTTAAATGTTTTTACTGAAAATGCTTGTTCTATAAAAGTATGGTGGAGGTTTGTGAACCCTTGAAACATTTCAGTTTTGGGTTAGACCCTTGTTTATTTTTGTAAATATATTATTTTAATGACTTTGAGTTGCTAGAAAGAGTATCTCATAGCATTCAACCAACTCCTGAGGGTTTATTGAAACTGTCCAATAGAGTTCTACCAACTCCTGGGTTACATTTAAACTGTCCAATAGCGTTCTCTAAACTCCTGGGGTTATATTTAAACTGTCCAATAGTGTCTACGAATTCCTGAGGTTTTATTTCATTTAATATTAATCAGAGTTCACCATCCCCACCCATGTCCCTTACTGCGGGTGTACATGCATCAAACTTAATTACTGATCATTAATATGTTTAACGCTGATGACAACAAGGGTGGATAATCATATCTAGACCTAGAGACTCAATAGAGTCACCCTTGCTATTCAGTGGGGGTGTGGTTAAACCATCAGCTCAACAGTGAGTCAGCTCTGTTGTATTCAAACACATTTCAAACTTCCCTGTTTTATATAGAAGCCTTTTTTATCTTTTATTTTAAACACATTTGTGGGGGGGGGTCCCCACAAGATTCTACTACACACATTTCAGTTTTTTGCTGTAAATGGGTCTCTTTTACACAAAGACACAAGAGCTAGTTTCTCACAATCTATTTTTTTTATTTAAAAGACATACAGCCCCTTGAAAACAAACCAAGATGCTCCATCAAAACTTTTTTCTTACTTAAGGGCCACACAGACCTTCTAACAGAAACACAGATAGTCACAAAACCCTTTTCAATAGATATTTTTATTTACAGCTAACAAGTTTTATATCACATGTTTGTCCCCTCACCATTCTCTAACTTAATCCTTTGAGATTTCTTATAAATGGTCTTTTTCTTAAGCAGGGTTCTGTAACTTTTTGTGCGGACCAGACCGTCAATATAATGCTGTAAGCAGGCATCTTCTGGTTTGGTCATTTTCTTTAAAACACTGTCAGGGTCTCAACCGAATTGCACAGCATTTACCAAGGTCTCCCCTTGTGCTAAATTTTCTTGGGTTAGGCACAGACCATTGCAAAGCACAACCTATGGCAATAACAGTGTTTAATAGGCTTTCCAAACACAGGTCAGCACACAGTCCCGGAGTTTGTAGCTTATATCCTCCGAAGTCCAGCTCACACAGTCATGGTGCCGTTGGGCTGGTGCATCTATGACACAGCCCTCACAATCTTCGAAAAGCTTTTCCCTAAGGCAGTGATTAAGAACACCATAAACAGCAACATGTACAATAGACCGCATGACTTTTTTACGCTCACGACATGGCACTGGCTCAGTTAGTTCCATGCCCAGCCTCCTCCTAAAATCCATATAGCTGTCATTCTTGGCGTCCTCGTCAACAATTTGTACTGGCGTTGAGCAAAAACAAGATGGGCCTGGTTTGTCTTTGTTGTTTGATGCAACGCTGTCCAGGGCCTCCAGGACCTCTAGAAAGTCATCATTGAGCTGTCGATAGATTTTCAGAAAAGAAACAACTGTAAGCCCTTACTGCTTGTTTTTAAATGTATGAAACCCCACGTTGGTTCCTAACCCCATTACACCCCACACTCGACTGTCACTTCGTAATCATTCATTTACCTGGGCAACTTTTTTTCCATTCACCTTGTCCACCAGTGACTTCCACGAGCCATGGTCACCTTCCTCCTCTAGGGGGGTGGAAGACGAGAGGCCATCATGCTTGTCTGTCTTCCTCATGAGAGGTTGGGTTTTGGGGTTGGGTTCTGGTATATCCATCTACAGCTAGGCCAAAGGGTTCCCCTTGGTGGCTCCCTCCTCCTCCTCAGAACTGTCACTGATGTAGCACTTTCTCTGCAGGCAGTCAAAGGCCCTCAGAGCTAAAACAAAGTCTGAAGTTCTCAGGGGGATGGTGAAGGAGTCCATGTTTCCTCTCATCTTTTCCACGATTTTTAAAACACACATTCTTGGAATGAAATGGCCTCTTCCATGCAGCGCTGGAACTTCTGCGGGTGGTGCTGCACTCTGATTGGTAGAGGGCAGTAGGGGGAGCTCTTAGAGGAGTCACACGACCCTGTTCTGGGTGGGTTACCCCACCCGAGAACTCCCCTCGATTGGTTAAATCTGCTCTCAGGGACGTCCTCTACAGCTGAAACCCACCCTGATTGGTAGAGGGTGGTGGGAGGAGTTCTTAGAGGTGTTACATTACACTCTTTGCTTCCGGGGATGTGTCTGTCTTGACCTTGGAAGTAATACCCCCAGGGGGCAGGTCTTATGTTTGATTGATGGTAGGCCCCTTCTACCACTCCTGGTGACTGTATACCAGTTCATAACCAAAGACGCCGTAGACATAATAAAATACAGGACAAATGGAAGTAAAATCCCCACACTGTGGTCATCCACAACAATCCTGAAGTGTCAGTTTATACTATCCACCCTGAACTAGGAGGTCCTGAGAGTGTTGTACAGAGGGACCAACTGAAACATTGGACTTTTAGTCTGACCAGGGCTCAGAGGAGACATAGAGCAGTATGTCCCGAGGAGACTGAAACCAATGGGGCAAACTCAAACCCTGATGAAAATGGCCAGATCCCTCAAATTGACCTGGTGTTACTTGGGGACAGGAGAATAGAAAATATGGGTAATGAACCATCAGTCTTAAGAAGGTCCCAGAGAACTACTAAGGTTGTACTGCCTGTTAAACTTAGAGATGATTATGTTATTGGTAGAGTTTTAATGAATATTATCATGTAAAGTATGAAGAAGTAGACATAGAATGTTACATATGTTAAATGTTCTTTTGTTAATTGTTAATGGTTTTTTTTAACATAACCTGATGTTGGTATATGTTGCTAATATGGACCCGGAGGTACTGGTGTAAATATTGTGGCAGTGGCAGAATTTTAGCAAGGTGGAATGTAAGGGGACTGTTGGCCCCTTACTAAAACTCAGTGGGGTTTTTGGTTGGCTACCTCCCAGTACCAAAAGAAAAGGGGAGGGTCGATGGGAAATCAGGACCCTGAGACTGACAGTTCCCAGGAGCAACGGGGAGAGGCCAATGCTCCAGGTCAGCCTGATTGACAGGGCAGGCAGGCTAATGGAGTCAGGAGGCCATAGGGGTCCCTCCTGTCCTCCATGTGAGCTGGAATTGCCTGGAACTGGGTGGGGCCCAGCTAAGGAGAGAGCAGGGGCCCCAGATGAGCTCGGGAGCAGGGCCACGCTGGCCAGAGGGGCCAGAGAAGCAGCCCAGGGAGCTGTGCTGGAAGCAGAGCAGCATCAGTGCTGAGGCAGAATGGAGCTGGAGCTGGGGCTGGGGCTGGGGCTGGGGCTTGAACAGTCTGGAGCTGGGTGAAGTGAGCAGCTGGGGAGATGCAGATGGATGCAATGAGCAGCTGGGCAGTGGACCCAGCACAGGGAGACACCCCGAGCCAAGAGGCCTTGCAGGCCAGACTTGGAGGGGGATCATAACCCTGACAGGGGAGGGGGGGGAAGATGCTGGGAAGAAGGGCCCTGCCACCTAGAGCCTGAAGGTGTGAGGCCACCACCAGCGCAAGTGTCGGACCCGCAGCATCCCTGCAGCACAGCCAGGACCTGAGAAGGAGGCCTGGGACATGTGAGGAACAGATTGAACTTCCCTTACATTCCAGAGACACTGTTTGTGATGTCTTCCTGCCACAGAGCAGGCTGATGTGTTTTCCTTTAACCTTTCCCATTTTTAAAAATTGATTGCTGTTTAATAAAGTGTATTTGCTTGAACTATACACAGTGATCAGTGGATATGGGAAGCGTCCAGTGTGGAGAGAGCACCCCGGAGTGGGGACACCCTATCCCCTGTCCTAAGTGACCATAACAAGGTTGGGGGTCGAGCCCCCCAGGAATCCTGGAGCCAGCCTTGTTGGGGTTACAAGGACTCTGACACACAGGAGAGTGGAAGGAGAGTCCACTGGCAGGCCTCTGGGTAAAGGGAGTGGGAGCGAGGATTCAGATCCTTTCTCTAGCCCATTTCACCATGGTAATTTATAAGGCTGAAAAGTTTCCCACAATAGCAGGACCATTCCCCCACTTGCAGTATCATCCTGTCTCCAACCCCAGCCACAGACTCAGCTGGTACACTGTGATACGGCATAACAGAATTGCTTCCATGCTGCCTTCTTCACCTCCACAATTTAAGTTTTAATTAAAGAAAGAGATGTGATCTGTAGCTGTTATGGTTGTTGAGATGGCCTCAAAAACCAGTAAGTCAGAGTGGCTGGTGCACTGATGTCTGTCTGCAGTTTCAGATTCTGAAACAGTACCCCTGAAATGTGAACTGCCCCATTCATCTTAGTGAGGTGCTAACTCAGATGGCCCCTTTTAACAAGATGGACAGTTACAGTACTAATGATTTCACTGCTCAAAGCATGAAGCAAAGGAGAGGGAAGACTATATTATGAAGATCTGTGCAATCTACTGCCAGCAACATCAACAGCTCATTTTGGCACCTTGAGTGAGTAGTACCACCACATATGGCCACCCGACCACTAAGGAGCTTAGAGCCCAGAGGTGGCATCTGAGGCCCCCCAAAGGGGAGCCAAGCCCAAGAAACACAGTCAGCACACAACCCTCAGCAAGGGGAAGCCAAGCAGAGCCCAGTGGTGTCTCTGGCTCCCAGAGAAGGTGAGCAAGGAGATAGATATTTTGAACCTCTGCACAATCTACCGTGAGCAAAATCATGTGGGAGCACTTTGTTTTTGGGAAGAGCTTAGGTGAGAACATTTTCCCCTCCAATCTGACCCCTGTCCCAACACAGGTCTCCCTTTCTCACATCCTCTGTAAGCTCTTCTCACACAGTTCCATTCACTGGTACCTCTTGCTGGGCTGGCCTTGCATCTCACATCCCAGTTGCAGAGCCTGGGAAGCATCTGCAGGACTTGGATACCAGGAATTTTTCCGTGTCTGGTGTGCAATCCTCACGGAGCACAGGATGCAGTTTAGATTCGCAATCTTGGAGTGTATGATGGTGGGGTTATAAGTGATGCTGCTGCCATTCTATCGGATGTCAATCTACAAAGCTCTTCTCTTTCAGCTAGGATTGCTCTCTTAGCAAGCCCTACAGACCAGGGTGGGGTAAATCAGCCCACTAACTGATGGTTATATCAGCAAAAGCCCTAGTGCAGATGCAGTTCTACAAGCAAAAAAACCTCAGTAATTTTACCAGTGTAGCTTATTTCATTTGAGGAACTGGTATAAGCTATATTGGCAAGATATCACTTTTGCCACTACAAATTGCATCTCCATTAGGAGGGTTGTCAGTATTATGCTGGCAAACCTTCTCTAGTGTAGATAAGCAGTGCCAACACTAGGCATAAGCATGCTAAGCAATTGCTTAGGGCCAAGCAACTCAAGAGAGCCCCTTACTCACTTATTTTCATAAGAAAATTCCTGTTTTAATATTGTATATGAAAGGGGACAAAAATATTCCTGGTAAGGGCCCCCAATGGGCTAGCACTGCCTCTGTAGACAAGGCATCTCTGAAGGACACTGCAGCATGAGTCAAATGTGCATACGTTTTAGGCTCTTCTTTTGAAAAATCTTAGCCTAACTCTAGGCACCCAAAAATATATATTAAGCAGCTAAGGGGGGATTTTCAGAAGGGCCTCAGGCACGTAGAAGCACAGCTTCCATTGAAGGTCAGTGGGGCTTGCCCTCCTAAATTCCTTGGCTTCTGAAAAGCTCACCTGTGTAACTTTGATCTGATTTCCAAGAGTACTGAGCACTTACAGAATTTAGGAGCCTGATTTTAAACACCCACTTTTGAAAGTCTTGGCCTCCTTGAAAAGTAGAATTATATGTTCTGGGGCAATGTGACAAATGTGTGACATTCATTAGAAAACAGAGAGAAGTGTTTAGCAGAGCACAGACTTAAGAATCCAGAGTCCTGAATTCTAATCTCTGCTCTGTCATGAACTTGCTGTGACCTTGAGCAAGTGACCTGAACTTTCCTTGCCTCAATTTATTCCTAAATTAGATGGTTATAGTGGTACTTCCCTCACAGAAATCTTGTGATGCTTAAAGTGCCTTGGAGATCCTCAGATGGAATGTGCTATAAAAGTGCAAAGGGCAATGATTCTTAGTGTTATACTGCGGCCTCCAGAATCAGTAACATACAGTCACTTAAAGTCCAATCATTGCAGTGCAAACTGGTCACTCATAGTCCTCAACTATAGAATGCGGAGCTATCACATGGAGGATTAAGGTGAACATAAAAACAGCCAAAAATGATTACTCTCAAATGTCCATATATAAAAGAAGAAAACAAATACAATCTCCCCTCCCTTTCTTCTCCTGTGTAGAATGAGCAGGAACACCACAGAGGAGGTCCTGAGAAAACAAGTTCTTTGCAAACGTCATTCATCCCACCACACCCCGTGCAAAATTGCAGGCCCATCAACAAACAGCATGTCAAACACTGGCTATTGAAATAAGTTTCCAGCTATCCAGTGAAGCAAGACAAGTAAGAGAGAAACAAATAATAAAAAGTTGCTCTGGTGACCGAGCCCCAGAATAGCATCAATTTGCTTTCAAAATATGAATCCAATTTGCAAAAGCAAGTGTCAATGCCATTGTCAAAAGACATCATTCTGAAAGCTGTTAGTATAGTGAAGAATGACTCAAGAACTTGACAAAGAAGAATATAGTGTGTATTGGCAACATTCCTCATTACATATTTCAAAGGAAAAATTGAAACCACATTTCTGAAGGGCAGACTTTGATTACTAGAAGGGCATTGCTATAAACAATGTGCTGCAGATTCTTTTGCAGCTCCTTGTTTTCCTTAGATTCTGCCTTTCCATGCAAGCCATTGAATGCCCCGTTATGTATCCCAGCTAAGAGACAGCTGCCATCTGCACAGGTCTGTGAGAGACCATACCAGTGCCATGAAGAGGTTCAAGAGGATAATAAAATGCAGCAGGTGCAACCACACGAGAACGAAATAAAGCAAAATTATCTCCTTATGGGAGCAATAGAAATGATTGAGAGCACGGATTCTGTGATCTGCAGAAACTGGGGGAAACTTGAGTCAAATAAATACACAGAGTGGAAAAACCCTGGCCCAACAAATATATCTGTGTTGTGTGCCCATGTGTAATTTATGGCCTCAGTTGAAGTCTACCTTGGCTAAACTTTGAGGAGGAAGATAAGGAGACAAACCCTACACATTAAAATAAGGGCAGGCGTATAGGCATGGATGCAACTAATGGAGGGGGATGCCAAAGACAGTCCTCCCCTGGGGCGCCATTTAGTTTAGGGCCGACCCTGGGTGCAATGGTCCCCAGACTAAATTAGATTGTCCTAGAAGGCTACCTAAAGTATGGCAACCTGTCCCCAGCTGCCTATGGGCAACTGTGCCACCTGGATTCCCCACCCCCTCCCATCCCTTGCCATGGCATGCTTCTTATGCAGGGGCTTCAAAACTGTGTAAATTACCTCTGGGACAGCCTGCAGAAGTGAGAATTCTCCTCTGGCTTGATGTGAAGCACAAACGACTCTCTTATGCTGCAGCAGCAGCTTAATAGGATTGTAGAGGAGGGGAAAATCCTACCCACAATATATAGATATGGACTCCAACCAAAGGTCTAAACTGTGAGGGTGTTTAAAGTAAAGGTCTGAATTTTTCATGTAACCCCTCTTCTTACCCTGGTCTGACCCAACACACCCTAAAACACAGATCCCCATTATGCAGCTCGAGCCCCTTTCTAACAAAATGGTGTGATTCTTCCGCTCTACTGGTGTATTTTTTCACCATTCATTGAGCCATACTGTGCCATCCATGTTGAATTGCAGTGTAGAAATCTGCTAGAACAACCAAATTAATAGTCTGGACTGGTCTTTATGTTCAGCTAGAACTTTGCCAAACTTTCAGAAAACCCAGAACTCAGCAAGTCTAGGGTCTCGTGACCAACCTACAACTCTGGCACGGTTCCTTGAGTTTCATTAGTGCCAGCACACTTTTAAAGTGATCCTGGGCTGGTGTATTGTTTCAGACGGACGCCAGGAGAAAGTGGAGTCACAGCTCAGTTCTTCTTTGTTTCTGGGTTTATGCGAACCTAAATCCCAAAGCTAAAACTCGAGGGCTCTGATTCTATTCTCACTTACCCTGATGTAAATGGGGAGCAGCGCCACTGAAGACCATGGAGTGGCACTTGTGAAACAGGCCAATGGAGAGTCAGTCCTCAGGAGTGGGCAATCCACATTTGGAGAGAGAAAGTTGAGTCCTGTTAAGAAAATTGCTGTGTTCTGCACAGCTTTGCTTTCTCTCAGCCCCATACCGTGCAGCAGGTGGTATGGTCGCCAGCAGAGAACCGCCCACTGCTCAGCGCAGAGAATGCAGAGTGCCTCCCGCACCTCGGACTATTAGGTTACATGCCTAAAAGTATGTGTTTCAAATTCCTCTGGCCTCCCAAATCCTTTTCTCACATCCCTTCTGAGACCCTGGTTTTGTTGAGTTGTAATCAATTTGGAGAGAGAATGTCAGAAATGCTGGGGGATGGAGGGGGAGAAGGGGTGGTTCCCCTGCTAATAATTACTGGATTTAGTTACCTACCAGCAGCAATTCAAGGGATCAGTGAGTAAAATACACCCTGGCATCTCTCCAGCACTGAAGTATTATTTCATACTCTAGTAACTGTACATAAACTAATTAGATATCCAAGTAGGCTGGGATTATTTTTTCTATAATTTAATGCCCTGACAGTTGTCACAGGACATAAGTTTGCTTCAGTTTACTTCATTCTGTGTTCCTTCGACAGTAGACGCAGCTCTTCTACTGCTGACACTGTCAGCTCAGCATAAATCAGGTGTCTTGATAAGTTAAGCTTTCTACACAGGTTTTGATTGTTTGCAGCTCAGCTAGGCTTCAGCCTCCACACAGCATAAATCAGGGAGTGGAGGGAGGGTTTCACTTGTATGTGAACTTAACTACCTTATATTCTCTTGCTGGACAAGTTTTTTAAAGGGGTGTAAAAAAGACCCCAGGTAGGGTTTGTTTAGTTGGGCTGGTGGAAAGTGGTCTGCCAAAAATGTTTTCCCCCTCTCCCTACACACACTTGATGAATAGTTACTTTTATAAAAAAAACGAGTTTGTCAAAAATTTTAAGATTCTAAAACCAAACCCTCCCTCCCCAACCCCCCTCAAAAAACCAGCCCATGCTGACAAGTTTTAAGCCAAAAGATTTTGGTTTGGGGAGTTTCAGGTTTTTGGTCAAAAAACCTAAACATGTTCAGAATTTTTTTTTTAAGACTGTGAAAGTATTTTTTTTCACCAACACTTTCCAAAGCAAAAGAAATCATTTCATAGCAAGGTCGAGAGTGGAGATTGATTTGGTCCACTAGTCAAATATCAGAGGAATGAGATTGTGATGTTATCTAATTAAAATAGGACCATGTAGATCATTGTTGCTACCACTGTTATATAATTTTAATAAAACTTGTACAAAGTATGTCATGTAAGGCATCTATGAAACAGTTATGATTTGCTGAATATGATTATCCTACTGGTATGCATGTATCATTTTTTGTATCTGAAGTTATGAATATTAACTAAGTAGCTGTATTTCAAATGTTTGCTCCTGTGGTAACACCAACAAGGTATTCAGCCAGCACATTGTGAAGGAACTATTCAAGTTGAATGGCCCATCAAAGAACACAACTCACAATGAACCATGGAAGATGCCTATCTACACTTAATGGACTTTCCTGTGAATATGCTAACTAGATAATGGCCTCTGCTATGACTAAGCTAAGCAGGCATGGACATGTGACTTGCCTCATGTGATGCCAAACTCCATCTTGTTACTTGTATTTTTCCACAAATGGGACTGAGGGCTTTGTTTCAAACAATGTGTTTCCCTCTACATGGCAGAAGCTATAAAAGGCCCAGGAAACACCTCCATTTTGCCTCTTTCCTGCTCAAACCTCTGGATATGAACTTATTCTACTGGGACCATTCTAACCAAGGGACTGTGGACCTTCCAATGATTTGGAAGCAACCAGAGACTTAAGAAGCCCAGCCATTTATTTCATCACTGCTACAAGTCTGATCCACGAACCTTGCAATTGTATGTATTTGATTCCTTTAACCAGTTTTAACTCTCACCTTTATTTCTGTTTATAAATAAACCTTTAGATATTAGGTACTAAAGGATTGGAACAGTGTGATTATTGGGCGGGTCCTTTGGGATCAAAAGAATCTTTTGATTAAATTGGTTTTAAATAACCAGTCATCATTAAGTCTTGTGGTTTTGGGGGTGATACAAGGACTGGAATACCTAAGGAGACTGCTTTTCTGACTTCTTGTTAGCCAGTGTGGTAAAACAGAAGTTTACTTTTGTTGCTGGTCTGGTATATCTTATGGGAGAATAACCACCAGTTTTGGGGTGTGTCTGCCCTATTTCTCAGCAGTTTGTCCTGAATTTGGTATTTAGTTGTGACCGACCAAGGCACAATGACAGAGACGTACTCGGAAAGAGGAATATCTATTAATAAACGAGAAAAGGAATGGAATTCATGAAGGCTCAGAAATAGCTTTTAAAGGTCCTTCTTCAACTAGAAAAAAGAATTGAGAAAAATGTTTGCAAGTACCAAGCAGGACAGAACTCTGATCTGGATGGCTACCATAATAAATAGTATGAATAATTAGGAGGGAAGACCCAATAAAATATAATAAAGAAATACTTGAAAAATATGAACATGTACAGATCAGCTTCTGCAGATAAGAGGAAAGCTTATGCTCAAATAAATCTCAGGTTTCAGAGTAACAGCCGATGAAGTGAGCTGTAGCTCACGAAAGCTCATGCTCAAATAAATTGGTTAGTCTCTAAGGTGCCACAAGTACTCCTTTTCTTTTTTCAAATAAATCTATTAGTCTTTAAGGTGCCGCCGGACTCCTTGTTGTTTTTGTGGATACAGACTAACACGGCTACCCCCTGATACTTGCAGATAAGAGACTTTCTATGGTATGAAGGGAATTAGCTATTGAACTCACTGAACTGTTGACAATTATTTTTGAAAACTCAGGGACAGTGTTGGGTAATCTAAGCACTTTTATTCATCATGAGGCTACATCTACACTACAAGCCCGGGGTGCGAATCCCCTGCTTGAGTACATACACTTGCACTAGCTCACATCAAGCTAGCATGCATCTAAATAGCAGCATAGCCACAGCAGAGGCATGGCTTAGCCGTTCAATATACAAACCCACCTGAAACAGGTGCATACATACTCAGCACTGCTCACCCATGACACTACCCAGGCTTTCATGATTACACTGCTATTTATACTTGCACTAGCTTGATGAGAGCTAGTGTGAGCATGTGCACATGAGCGGGGGGAGGGGGAATTAAAAACCACACTTTAGCTTATTGTGCAGATGTAGCCTGAATAGTCTTGACTTTGTGACTAGACCCATTGGGCTGGATTGTATCCTTGCCTTAGTCAGCCACAGAAATAAGAGGAAGTAATTTTCCTCCTTTTCTCTTTGCTAGGTCTTCCCAGATCTTGGATTCAGGTCCAGCGAGGAGTACAGCACATGCTCTCTACAGATCAGTGGGTCTCAACCTGCGGCCCAGTCAGAAGAGTGACATCCTCAGGGCCATACAGATATACTGGATGCAGCCCACATAACACATTGGCCCACAATGGTAAATACCCAGGGAGAAGTGAGCTGTACCATTTCAAGAGTGCTATTAACTCACTTCCCTGTCACCAACCTCACCCCACTCCCACCACCAATCGTTATCACCCTAGAGCAGGAGAGAAGCAGAGGAAGCATTGTGCCTCAGAGGGGTGTCTCAGGCACATGCCGCCCAGAGCTTCCACTCACTAGGAATTGTCCTCAAAGCCACAGCCTGGCCCGCTGAGTTTAGGAAAAGGGTTTGTGAAGTAAGGTACTAGCCAAGGCTGGTCAGAGTATCAGAATCTGGCTCAAATGACAGATGGCTAGAGGGACTACTGATCTGATCCACAGTAGCAAATCCCACACTCCTGTTTTGGCAAAGCTACCAGTCTGACCGTGATAAACATTTTGCTAGATGAACTATATCAAGACAAGATGAACTATAGCAAGACAAATTATAATGAGAATTGTTTCAAACATGCAGACTCTCTGGGACTGAAGATTCAAATCCAAGTAAGATCAGCTTCACCCTACAGAGAAGATATGCTGAGTTCCATGCATTCACTCTACAATTGGCAGGTCCTTTGTATGAGAGCCTAAAAACTAAAGTCCTCCTGTCTGCTTTCTATGGACACTAAGGATCTCCAGGCACTATTGGAAAAATGGAGGTTCACCCCAGCGTCCTGGGACAAAACTGACCTTCCTTTTTGTGCACTGGTTGAGGCCATACCCCAGATATAGTTGCATTTCAATGATGTTGTAAGTTCATAGTTTGGGTAAAGATTTGGGATTCTTTGCAATAAAATCCACTATATATAAAATATATTTTTTTCCAATTGCCATGTACATCATTTCACTTTGTGTAGTTTGAGGAGAAGAAGGGATTTGGGGAACATTAATAAACTAAATTCCCTCTCAAAAATGTCTAATTACTTTTCCTCCCCCCTACACCTTGTTTGTTCTTTCCCAACATAAATTGAATTTCAGCTGACTTATTGATAAATGGAAGTGATGATAGCTATTTTGCACCACCCCAAGGCTGATTGTGGACCCATGCCAACTACAAGTCTAATAGTCCCAGCAGATAAGATTGTCTGATCTGGTGAGGTGCATCATAGTTCACGTTTTGTTGTGTGGATGTTCTATACCATTATCTAACGGCATTAAGGAATCTCTTTACCAGGTCATGAACTAGAATATGCCAGTGTCTCACACAGTTCTGATGTATAACTATTGTCTCACCTATGCTACAAAGAGAAAACTATCTTTTAAAAAAAACTATGCTGGGCAACTGCAGACTGCACTACCAGACAGAGCCCAGGGACTGGATGGGTTAAAGAGGTATGGGTATGGACAAATCCCTTCCAAAGAAAAACCATTTGCTTGTACAGGAATCCTTTGTTCTAGTCCATTGGGGGAACTTATTTTCAACCTTGAAAGAGGCACTTGATTAACCTCTCACCAGTAGATAAGATGCCTCAATGTCTTTCAGAACAAGTCAGGGAGAGCAAGCCTTGGTAGAAAATGCACTCATCATTACAGGTTTTTATTTTTCCTCTACAACATTCTCCTTTTGACAATTCCCTCTGACTTTTCTTAGCACTGATGGAAAGTGGCAACTTATAAAAATGAGGTTTAC